ACCCCCCTCACAGCCCCCCCCCCCAGCCCCCCGTCACAGACCACCGTCACAGACACACAGACCACCGTCACAGACACACAGACCACCGTGACAGACCACCATCACAGACCACCGTGACAGACCACCGTCACAGACCACCCTCACAGACCACCCCGTCTCACCTGCTTATGGAGCTTGACCAGACTCTTCTCACTGGGATACGTGTTCTGCTTGTCGTCGAAGTCCTCGTAGTCGTCCATGTTCCTGCCCAGCTTCTCCTGGTAGTCCACGGGACACTGGAGGAGGGAGTCAAACCAATCAGACTGACCAGTAACGGATCACCTGACCTACAGTATGTTGACGAGGAGCCCCTCCCACCTTCCTCAGGACGGTGTCGATGCACTTCCTCAGTGGATGGTTGTACTTGATGGACTCGCTGACTTTCCTCACCTCCTGCAGGAGAACGTGTCGTTACATCGTGGGAGTTACGTCACTCAGCTGCACCCACCTCCTCCGCTCACCTCCATCACGTCCTCCAGGTTCTCCTCCGCGTCTGCTTTTTCTGTCATCAGCTTGGACGCCTTGAAGTACGTCTTGATGAGCAGGTGTCCGGGTCGCGAGGCGTTCCAGTAGGAGCGAGGGATTTCCACCAGGCCGTAGCCCAGCAGCAGCACCAGCAGGAACAGACCCCAGGTGTTGGCTGCTGTGATCCCGATGGTTTGGAGCTCGTACCTGAACGACACTTTTTTTTGTTACCGAGCTGTCTCCAGGACAGTGAGGCCCGCAGGAATCTCAGGACTCACCAGGAGAGATGCAGCTTCGGGTGCACGGCCACGTAGATGAGCAGGGAGCCAAAGATGAGCAGGTACGTGCCGTAGTAGATGGCGTTTTCTATCAGAGCTGTTTTGACTTTCCCAGTGATGGAGAATCCCCCGGAACGAGCGTAAGACTGCATGAAGGGCAGCAGCAGCCTGAGACAAGACGACAACGTTCAGTCACTGACGTGGTCTGCAGGGACCGGGGGAGAAAATAAGAAAACTGGGACGAAGTCTCGGCTAAAACCCTCATGTTTTCCCTTGAGTCCAGATCTATAATGTAGACTTTTTTCAAATGTAAACAAACTCTAGTTTTGCCTAAACATTAAATCATTGAAAACACATGAGAAATTAAAGTTAAAAAAAAAAAACCTCAGTGTTTTTGTTTCTTATTCTGTCTTTTTATCTGTGGACTTTCCAGTTTGTTTTTGTTTTTTTAAATGTAAATTTGCCAGATTTGGCCCCAGGCCAGAGTTTGACTTCGATGGTGCAGTGAATGAAAACACACTCTTAACTCTTAGCTTTCTACCTGACTGATAACCTGACATCAGGACCGGATTTTGACCCTGGACCTCTGCCTTAGAGCTCGGTGTCTTTTGTTTCTGATCAATTTGGATTCAGTCAGACATAACGACGCTAACGGAGAGAAACATTCGACACAAATTTGTCAGTCATTTCACTCGGTTTACAGCCTTGTTTTCACTAACAATAACCTGAACCTTTCTAGTCCTGATATTCCTGGTTCTGTTTCTGCCGTGGTCAAACCACGTCTTCAGAACTGAGCTCTGATTGGCCATTTTTGGTTCCTTCTGTTTACAAGAAGAACTGATTGGACTTTGTCCCTGACTGTTGACTAACACGTCAATACATTTTGTCTTTGTTGTTTAACTCCACCTAAAGAAGCTAGTTGACTTAGTCTGTAATGGAAATTCCAAGTGGATGAATCATAGACTGACAACAACACAGTGAACGGGTTCTGACCAGGTCAGACACTGAGATGTCCAGTACACCACCCTCCAGAAGACCGGCATGATGCCATCAGGGATGTAGCTCCAGGGTTTGTAGCACTGAGTGACAGGGCTGTTTAAAATGGAGACGATGACATCATTAGTACAGACCGGCTCCGTGTTCACCAGGACCAGAGTGAAGCAGCGGAGAACGAGCGGGAGCACTGACCTCATCCTGGGGGTGGCAGTGGAGTTGGCCGCCGTTTGATTGGGGGGTTGTGGACCGATGGTAGGCCCGGTGACGTGCTCCTCGTGGTCGATCTTACACTGTTTGTAGATGGTCTGTAGGGACAAACACCCACCCGTGTCAGTGAGCAGGTGCAGGCAGACAACATGCAGCACGTCAGTGCTTCAGTACAGACCGTGCTGACATCCAGAGGGAGGATGAAGACGATGAGGAAGCACAGGTACCACGCCAGCAGTGTGCTGAACAGCACCATGCGCTGCTGCTTCTTAAAGTCTCCATAACGGTGCAGCAGGAAGAGCGCCAAGAAAAACACCACCACGATCTCGATGCCCAGAGCGGCCCCGCTCATCGCGCTGCCTGCCGCTCCTCCGCAACCTGACAAAAACCTGCAGCGGGTGAAACACGGACGTGACGTCACGACCACAGAGAAATGACAGCAACAAAGTCAAAACAAAAACTACATCAGTTCAGAAAAGGATCATCTTTTTTTAAAAAAAAAACCAAAACATTTTTGTATATTTACCACGCCTACAAATCGTCCTCTCTACTGCCCTGCTGTTCCACCATTAAATTAATTTGTCACATATTTGTCAAAACCAAGATATAAATATATATACAATAGCATATTATTTCGTTTGATTACATCATAGCTGTAAACAATCTTATGTTTTTTTCATTTGTTTATCCAAAAAAATCCTATAAATGCTTTTCTTTCTTCTCTAGTGATTTTCCTATAAATGCTTTTCTTTCTTTACTAGTGATTCCAAATCTAGATAAAAAAAACCTTAACATATCGTTGTGCCTATACTATCAATATATCGTATACTGTTTATATCGTCTCTGCCTCTGTATCGTCATCCGTATTGTATATAGTTGCCTCTGTATCGTCATCCGTATTGTATCGCCAGATTCCTACTAATACACACCTCTAATATTATATACAGGTGTGTGTCACTCTTTGGGCTGTCCCTCTGACACTGATCCCTCACCACTCCACCCTGCCCACACCCTCCTCTGCTCCTCCTTTGTGCACCGGTGGTTGCTTCTAGCAACCATCTTTGTTTTCAACTGCGGTGGTCATATTGCCATGTCCAACATATGCTGCCGGGAGGTGTAACCGGATGACATGAACACCAGCACCCCCCCCGCCCCCCCGGCAGCGGAGTGAGAACAGTGAGTCAACATTGTTGCATCTTTTCCCCCCGTACGTGTCCCTTTCAGGAACCAAATCTCAGCAGAACACGCCATCTTTGAACTGTCAAAAACAGGGACCTGCGGCCGAAAACATCAACAGTAATTGCCTTAAACTAGCGCGACAACACTGACCAAAAATATCTGTGGAAACGTGTCCAATATTTCCTGGAAGCTGAGACGAGAACAACAGATGAACACACAGCTCCAGGCAAAACGACGTTCACACCATCAGCAGTAGTTTGTCGCTAATGACGTCAGCGGTGTAGGGTTTTACAGCTAAGCAAAAATGCTAATACGCGTTAGCTGAGCACAACAACACAGACACAGCAGCTGTACACACGACAGATGTGATGCTGATCCAGAGTCAGTGCTGTGACGCAGATGTTGGCAGCTGTTCTCCGTTACCGCTGACGGCGAGCTAACGCGGCTCGGCTCCCCGTGTCTCGGTGCGCTCTTTACCGTGTTGACAGAGCAGATGGGGTCCCTTTGGTAGTTTGTATCCGCCGTTCCGTGCGCCTCGCCCCGCTGTCTTTCCATCCACAGTCACGCTGCAGTTGCTATGTCTCTGTCTCCGTTTAGCTGGCGGTGTTAGCCGAGCAGCTCTACTCACTTCCGGCTTCTGTCTCAGCAGCGCTGACGTCAACGTCAACGTCATCCGCCACGCCTGCTCATCTTGCTCCATGTTCTGGTTGGGAAAACTCCGAGTCATTGCTGCCGCCTACTGGAGAAAAGGCACACATACACTCTATTTTTTTTATTTTATTTTTTTTACAATATCCCATTTTAATGACTAATGGTTTATTAATTATTTATCAAAATAATTTCTTTCTCTCCATAAAAACAGAAAAAAATGACTTCTTTATTTTTTTAAACAATCACTTTTCACACACTGGTCATGTTTACACTTCCTGGTTCATTTAATGTCATTTTTATATAATATTGCTGTGCTGTTCAGACTGAGGGGAAACATATATATGGATCTTTCTTTGTTTCCTTATATTTCCTTAAATTCCACCTCTCACTCCCTTTCACTGTTTCACTCTTATCTCCCATTCCTTTCTATCCCTTTCTCTCTAACCGTCTCTCCCTCCCACTCCCTCTCTCTCTCTCTTCCCCACACGCTCTCAAATCATAGTGAGGGGAGGGGGGTTAGAGAGAGAGAGAGAGGGGTTGGGTGAGAGTGTGACGCAGTGAGCCTTCACTTCCACTCTCTCCTCCAGGACGAAGACAGCGAGAAACCGGGAGCCGAGAGTGAGAAAAGGGCGCAGACGGACACGGACACCGGGCTCCAGAGCAGCGACAGCGGCGGGGGAGATGAGGACGAAGCAGCGGCGTAGAGTTCGACCGCGGCACCGGAACCACGATCTGGGCTAGAGGCTTAAATCGAAGCTACAGCCGCGGCTGGTTGTTTTCATTGTGAGGAGGAGGATGTGTGTGCGCGGCCAGACACGCTCCTCCCGCTGCTGCCAGAGAAAAGCTCGATCACTTCCCGACACTGCGCTGATCCAGCAGGAGCCTGGTCAGCATGGCTGCTCTGATCCATGAAAACTCTCCATGAAAACAAAGAGGAGGAGGAGGAGAAGGAAGAGGAGGGGTGGAACGGCCACTGCGCCATGGAGGACAACAAGCTGAGAACGGCCAGGATGTGGAGGGATGCCGCCCTCCGCTCCAGGAAGCTGCGGAGCAACCTGCGCCAGCTCACCCTCTGCTCCAAAAACAACCAGATCACTCTGCCCGACGACATAGCCGAGGTGGAGGCGCTCAACCTGGGCAACAACTCCCTGCAGGAGCTGCCGGCCGGACTGGGATCCTCCCTCAACAACCTGCGCATCCTCCTGCTGCGCAGGAACAAGTTCACCTCGGTGCCCTGGGTGGTTTTTGAGCTGGGGCAGCTGGTGGAGCTCGACATGAGCCACAACTGCTTAAAGAGCCTTCCTGAAAGTGTGGGTCAGCTGACGGGGCTGAAGAAGCTCTGCCTGAGCCACAACAAGATCCAGAGTCTGCCTGTCCAGATGGGAGCGCTGCAGAGTCTGGAGGAGCTTGACATCAGCTTCAACGATCTGCACAAGCTTCCCTGCTCCTTCTCCAACCTCGCCCGGTTGCGGACCCTCGATGCCGATCACAACAAACTGAACCAGTTCCCTGCAGAGATCCTGGCTCTCAGTGAGCTGGAGGAGCTGGACTGCTCCGGGAACAAGTTTGAGGTGTTGCCGTCCGACATCATGGAGCTGCGCTCCATTAAGATCTTGTGGCTCAGCAGCCTCCACATGTCGGTCTTACCCGACTCCTTCTGCCGCCTACACAACCTGGAGAGTCTGATGCTGGATGGGAACAGCCTCGCCGCGCTGCCGTCGTCCTTTGGAAATCTACAAAGACTCAAAATGATTAACCTGTCGTCCAACGAGTTCGAGGAATTTCCGCAGGTCGTTTTAAACATAACAGGACTGGAGGAACTCTACCTGAGCAGAAACAAACTGACGCAGGTGCCTGAGAATATTGGCCAGCTGGTGATGCTGGTGAACCTGTGGCTGGATAACAATCACATCACCTACCTGCCAGACTCGGTGGTGCAGCTGGAGAAGCTGGAGGAGTTGGTGTTGCAGGGGAACCAAATAGCCATACTACCAGACAACTTTGGAAAACTGTCCAAAGTCAACATATGGAAAGTGAAGGACAACCCTCTGATCCAGCCTCCGTACGAGGTGTGCATGAAGGGGATCCCTTACATCGCAGCCTACCAGAAGGAGCTGGCTCAGTCCCAGCTGGCCGTCAAGCCTCGGCTGAAACTGGTCCTGATGGGGAACAGAAATGCAGGGAAATCCTGGCTGAAGCAGAGCCTGGTAGGAGTCGGGCAGGAGAAGACCAAAGGAAACCAAGGAACCAAGGGTATTGAAGTCACACACTGGGTGGCGGACGCGGAGCGCTGCCTCACCTTCCTGGTGTACGATCTGTCAGGGAAGCTAACCTACGACCTCATCAAACCCTTCTTTCTTTCCCCCGGTGCTCTTTACCTCCTGGTGGTCAACCTGAGAACATATCTGCCCAAAAACTTCTACGCCCATGTCGGATATTTCCTCCACCTTCTTGGTGCCAAAGTACCCCACGCGGTGGTGTGTTTGGTGGGCACACATGCAGACCAGTGTGGTGAGGTGGAGTTGGAGGCGAAAACCTTGGACATCCACAAACAGATCGGTCTGCAGGAGAAGAGCGACGTCCAGAGCCTGAGGAGCTTGGCTCAGCAGGTGGACCAGGCGCTGGAGCAGGGCTACGTCGTCCGCACCTCCAGCCCACATGTGCTCTTCTACGGCGTTTCCAACAAGAACCTGAGGCGGAGGAAAGCGCAGCTGCAGTTTATGCTCAACAACCGGCTGCAGATCCTGTCTCCTGTCCTGAGCGTGAGCTGCGCCGAGAAACAGACGAACGTCCAGAGGCTGCGGGAAAAACTCATGTCCGTCGCCGACCACAGGGAAATCTTCCCCAACCTCCACCGCGTCCTGCCGAAGTCCTGGCAGATGCTAGAGGAGCTGCACTTTAAGCCCAAAGACTTATGGTTGTCGTGGTGGGATTCGGCCCGTCTGGGCCTCCAGGCGGGGCTCACGGAGGACCGACTCCAAAGCGCCCTGTCCTACCTGCACGAGAGCGGAAAGCTGCTGTATTTTGAGGACAGTTCCACTCTGAAGGAGTACGTTTTCCACAACCTCCCGCAGTTCATAGCAATTCTAAACGTGTTCTTCCACAGAGACAAGTCCAGCTTGTTGGACCGGCTCCTCTCTGAGGGAGAACGAGGGGACAAGGGACGGGTCAGCCTGGTGATCGAGAACGAGAAAGGCGAGGATCTCAGGGTGTCGCATCTGCAGCACCACGTGGAGGGCTTCCTCCAGCACGGTCTGCTGCCCTCCAACGTGATCCGTCTCCTGCTCAGGCCGCTCATCCAGACCCAGCAGGACCTCCACCTCATCATGGAGCTCCTGGAGAAAATGGGGATTTGCTACTGCGTCAACAAACCTCGCAGCAGGCTCCTGAATGGCGCCACGGCCTGGTACAAGTTCCCGAGCTACGTCAGCAACGAGGAGCCCGAGGCGGAGGCGGAGGCCGGCGGTGGCTCGCTGCCCCACTGCCACTTTTTCTCGGTGGAGCAGCTGCACATCCAGTACAGCTTCCCGTTTCTGTTTCCTCCTGGACTCTTTGCTCGCTTCAGCGTGCAGATCAACAGCCACGTGGTCCAGAGGTCAGACAGCAGGCGCCAGATCCTGGCCTATCGAGGGAAGGTTCCCGTGGTGATCAGCCACCAGCCCCCCCGAGGACCCGCGCAGGTGGAGACTCTGTCCATCGCCAGCCACGCCTCGCTGCCCAACATCTGGACGGCGTGGCAGGCCGTGACCCCCCTGGTGGAGGAGCTGAACGTGCTGCTGCAGGAGTGGCCCGGCCTCCTCTACTCCGTACACGTCCTCTGCTCCAAGTGCCTGAAGAGAGGGTCGCCCCAACCCCACCTGTTCCCAGGTAGGACTTTTTAGATTTTTATTTTTTATTTTAAATATTGATGAAGAACAAGCTGCCTTTTTTGAGCCTATTTTTTGACTAACTCATATAATAATAACAATAAAAATAGCTGTTATTAATATTAATTAATTAATTTATATATTAAATATTATTAATGATAATAACATGTAGCCTAACTAATTGTTTTCAGCCTAACTAACTTTATCTCTCATTTCTGTCACACGGTGTTGTTTTCCGTGTCTTGCTTTTTTATATATTTTCTGCTAAATAGGAATAACATTGTCGTAAAGTTGACGTAGCCTAAATTCTCAGTGAACTGATTGGACTGTATTTACAGCCATGTACAAAAGCCTGTGTGTGTGTGTGTGTGTGTGTGTGTGTTAGCGCTCCTGCCTGTGTGATGTCACTGGCCTCGTTAGCACAGACAGTTCTTTCTTCCTGACTAATTGTCCGGAGCAGGAAACAGCCCTGAACCTGAACTGTTGTCAGATGAAGAACTGGGAATTGTCGAAAAAGAGAGAATCTAAAGTATGAAACAGAAAATAGCGATAACGATAGCTACGGTGAAATCTAGACTCAAAGGCTAAATGTTAGCCAACATAGCAGAAGTACACGGTAGGAAACCAAGACAACTGGGCTCAAAAAGTAAAGGTTAATAATATTAATAAAGACATTAACTTTTTGTCGATATTGTCCAAACACGGAATTTCCGATTCCGATATCAACCGATACCGATATAGGCCTGGTCATATTTGTTTATTTATCTGAACAAACCACTGTATGAGTATGAGATTAATTAAATGAGCTGCAATGCTGCCATCTAGTGACTAACCCTAAACGATAACGATTCTTACAAATATTACTAATAATTTTGCTAATATTGGGCCGATAATATCGGACAGCACAGCTCTGCTAACCGTAGAAGGTAATGGAAATCTTCTCGGATGATATGTGCGGTCGATCCTGTGATTGGTTTAGAGTCAACCAATCAAATTGATTTTTGATTTGGATTTCAACACAGTCAACAACAGAACAATGAGAGGGAAACCAGGAGAAAAAAAATAAACAGACAACATAACCATCAATCAAAGTCCAACCAATCAGGTCCCGCCTCCTCAGCCATGTTTAGATCGTATGTTTATTCCACTTCCTTCACAATGAAAGTTCATACTGACACTAATATAATGACATGTAGAATAAACGACTTGACGAACAGCGAATCAAATCAGAAGATTTAGAAAACAACAAACACATTTATACAATATATTTATATATATTTACATACTTTTTTTAGTGACGATTCATAAAAACGTGGATCATCAATACCATAAATGATTTATTGAACACATATATTGAATATCTGTACATTTATAGCTATTTATATCTAATTAATATGAATGTAAAATGTCGATTCCGACTGTGTTGTTTGTTGTTTTTGTCGACGTTTCACCGTGAGAGACGAGAAGAAAATGTCGTTCCACAAATACCTGCCTCCAGTGTTTGACATGGACTCCTGTGGTCAGGATATATTTAACCGTCAACACGGGGTCAGTGAGGTTTCTCTGCACAGAGACGGTCGATCATCGATGAAGTGTTTGATCTTTAGTGGCAAAGCTAATGCTAACAAGCTAGCGTGTTAGTATTTGTTTTGGAGCACGACTAAGCAGTAACAGCGTTGTTGACAAAAGACTCGCTGTTGCTAAAGAATGATGAGCCAACTCTGAACTTTGTTAGCATGTGTACGCGGCGAGGTGATTGGTCAACGTTAGCTCATTATTAAAATAAAGGCTATGTGTATTCTGAAGTAGCTGCTAGGTCAAAAGAGCTAACCTAGCTGCTAGTTTTCTGTCAGTGCTATCAAGTTCACTGTTAGCTCAGTTGGCGACGTCAGTGCTAGCTTGTTTCAGATTCAGTGAAAATGTTATTGGAGTGTAGGGTAGGATAGCAGCGTCAAACGTTAGCTTCAAGGTTAGAGACAGCTGAAAGGTCGTGATTAACCTTTCAGTCAGCACTCGCTGTTAACTGACAGTTAGCATTTAGCTAAGCTCGTATTAAAGTTAGCTGTGGAGCTGATGAAGTAGCTGAGATACCAGTTGTTGCGTTAACCAGTAAAAAGTTCTACAAAGGCTCATTATTATTATTGTTATTATTTTAAGCCGATTGGCTGGAACCTGCGGACAAACTGGTTGACGCTAAAGCTAGCTCTACTGCTAGAACACTGCTGTGTTCACTTGTTCACAGCTGCTCACTCGGCCGCAGCGTCACATTCTCCAGGATCAGCTGCTCACTCTCACTGGTCCTAATCCAGTTAGAGGATTAGAAGTGGATTAAACGGAGTCAGAGATTCAGCTCCAAACACTCACACCCTGAAGACCTCGTTTAAACCTCCTCCACTCGGGTCACTGCCCTCCACCTGGGTCTGAGGTCTGAGGAACCACAGCTCCCTGCTCTTGTTCTGGTCCCAGACCTGTTCTGGTTCAGTCCCAGACTTGTTCAGGTTCCAGACCTGTCGTGGTTCCAGACCTGTTCTGGTTCCAGACCTGTTGTAGTTCCAGACCTGTTCTGGTTCGAGACCTGTTCTGGTCCCAGACCTGTTCTGGTTCCAGACCTGTCGTGGTCCCAGACCTGTTCTGGTTCCAGACCTGTCCTGGTTCCAGACCTGTCCTGGTTCCAGACCTGTCCTGGTTCCAGACCTGTTCTGGTTCCAGACCTGTCCTGGTTCCAGACCTGTCCTGGTCCCAGACCTGTCCTGGTTCCAGACTCAGACTCAGCTCAGTGAGTTCGACAGTGAACTTTGAAAAGACCTGAACTGCAGCCAAAGGAAAATACCAGTGAGTCCAGCAGCTCTTCCTGCTCCAGTTGAATGCTGGGAAATGACTGGACCGGCGTCTGCTGCCAGAGTCTCTCCGTCCCCGTGTTCAGTCAATTATTTATTTATGATTTACAATAAAATGGGAATTAATTGATTCTCGGTCTGGACGGCAGTCTGTAGACCAGCTGTGTTAAACGTCTGGCTCTGGGGCCGATTGTGGCATTTGGATGGGTGAAAATATGAGCTGAATTAACTGTTAGTAATGGACGAGTCGTACTGACAATCTGTGAACGAGGTTTTTTTTTCTTCTCCCTGACCGTTAGCTTCAGCTAATGTTTTAGCCACAGTTAAATCTGAGGCTACGTTTGAAAGACGTCCAATGACGCTTCACTGCCTGTACTTTTATTGACCTTGTAGCTAAATCTGGATTTATTTTAGTAATGTTTCAGATTGTACAGAGCAGTTATGGCTTTTAGAAAAATTTGACTTCCATTTTGTGCTAACATTCAGCCATTTCTGTGTTTTTTAATTTGCTTTTTTTATTTCAGTTCCTGGTTAATGTCTCCATATTTGTTTTTTTTTAACTTTCTTCAGTTTTATCCTTTTTACTTGTACGCAGCTTTAAGTTCAGGGCTAACAGCAGCTAAGTTGCGATGTTTCTCCACAGTGAGTGAGAATGTTGAAACCACATTATAATCTGGAGTTTCACGGGGGGGGGGGTGTTTTGACCCTGGGGTCGTTTGGGATCATCAGATCTGATCCTTCCTCTCGTCTGTGGAGCGTTGTTTGTCAGATTCCTGCAGCGGAGCCTGAACTCACCACAGACGTACGTCGACCTGAGGCCACTGAACGGCAGCTGATCATCAGCAGTTTCCCGCCCAGACCACAAATCTCACAACTTTAGAGGAAGTTGAACTTTTAGACTTTGACCCTCAGGAAGTCGACCAATAGAAAACACACGTCACAGGAAGAAACTGAGTTCTTAGAAAACGCAGGTGAGCCGTGAGCCGTGAGCCGACGGCTGTGGTGTGAATCAGCGGCCTGTCCAAACTCGCCCGCTTAGCAACCGCCGCTGGCCGCCCTTTTCTGCAGCTCGTCAGTGTCTTTGTCAGAGTGAATGTGGCGTCTGTGCTGCTGAGTAATCTGGTTCAGAGGCTCAGCTTCCTGTGACATCATCAGGACTCAGTAATCCTGCAGACACGACTGTCTGTTTCTGTGGGATTTCATTTCCTCCAGAAGTGGCGACAGATTTAACCAGTCACCTCTCAGTCCTTCAGTTCTGACAAAAGTGGGAGGGGCTTCCTCCTGGGTCCCTGTCAGGTCTTGTCGGCGGTGGAGGAGGTCGGTGCAGAGCAGGTCTAGGATCAGCGGCTCTGGTCTGAGCTCAGTCTGACTCATGTTTGGGCCGTGGTGCGTTCACTGTCTGATGATGCGGATTAGTCCTAATGCAGTCGTGGGCTGTTGGTCTGATGGAGTCTGATCCGATTCCGTTCCACTTCACACGTCTTGCTGCGCCATCACAGAATTACCCATAATGCCTGTGGGTCAGAGGAGCGTCTGATCTCAGCTCTCCAGGAAGTTAATTCTCCATTTCTTTCCATTTCTGCTTCTGTGGTTTTTTTCCGTCGACTGCTGCACTTTAACTTTCTGTAAAAAAAACCAAATCAAACCGACTGAACGTTTGAAAAGACGCCGGCGTTTCATTCCCTTATTTGTCGTGTTTGGACTCTCACAGTTTTTATACTTTATCAGATGTTGTTTTTTTTCTGTGGATTAATGAAGGAATTAAAAACGAGAACAGCAGACAGCTGTGACCTCTGACCTCGTTTACACTCCAACGGTCACATGACTCACGGCCTTGTCATTTTTTTGTTCTGTTACTGTTGGAAACTTCAGCTAAAACAAACACTCACTGATTGTTCTGTACCAGTTCCTCCACTGCTGCCTTATAAGGCTGCAGGA